TCCTTGAATTCCTACCAGTTATGCATAATATACACGATAGTTTATTGTGAACTGTAGTCACTCCCTGTGATGTATAACACCAGAACTTATTCTTCCTATCTAATTATATTTTGCTCCCTTTATCTAACCTCTCATATTCCCTTCAACCCATCCTTTCAGGATTCTACAAACCACAATTCTACATTCAGATTGGCTTATATTTTTAGCATGCATTTATGGTGTTTGGTTTTCTGTAACTGACTTATTTCATTTAACATAATCTCCTTCAGTTCCATTAGTTGTGCTGAAAATGATATCATTCTTTTTATGGCTGAATGATATTCCATTGTGTATATAGGCCATATTTTCATTATCCATTCCTCTATTGGTGGTTATCTATTGGTTGCTTCCATATACTATTGTGAATAGTATCACACTAAACGTGAGCATGCAGTTATATTTTTGATATGCTGATATTATATCTTGGGATACATACCTAGAAATAGGGTAGCTCAATTTCTGTTTTTAGTATTTTTTTAATGTTGTATTTTGTTCTAATTATTTAGATATGGTAATAGAGTTCATTTTGACACATTGTATACAAGTAGAACACAACTTCTCATTCCTCTGGCTGTACATGGTGCAGAGTCACAATTGTAGTCTAATCTTACATGTATATAGGGTAATAATGTCCATCTCATTCCATCATCCTTCCAATCCCCATGCCCCCACCCTTCCCTTCACTCCCCTTTGCACAATCTAAAGTTCCTTCATTCTTCCCTCCTCATCCTACATTATGGATCAGCATCTGCTTCTCAGAGAAATAAATTGGTCTTTGGTTTTTTGGGTTTGGTTTACTTCACTTCACATGATATTCCCCAGCTCCATCAATTTACCAGCAAATGTCATAATTTAATTCTTCTTTAAGGCTGTGTAATATGCCATTGTGTATATGTACCATATTTTCTTTATCTATTCCTCTATTGAAGGGCATCTAGGCTGGTTCCATAGTTTAGCTATTGTGAATTGAGCTGCTATAAACATTGATGTGGCTCTGTCACTATAGTATGCTGATTTAAAGTCCTTTGGGTATAAACCTAGGAGTGGGATAACTGGATCAAAGGAGTGGTTCCATTCCAAGTTTTCTAACAAATTTCCATACTGCTTTCTAGAAAGGTTGCACCAATTTGAAGTCCCACTAGCAATGTATTAGTGTACATTTTCCCCCACATCCTCACCAACACTTACTATTGTTTATGTTCTTGAAAATTCCCATTCTGACTGGAGTGAGATGAAATCTTAGGGTAATTTTGATTTGCAGTTCTCTAATTTCTAGAGATGATTGAAATTTTTTTTCATGTTTGGTGATTGATTGTATTTTTTCTTCTGTGAAGTATCTGTTCAATTCCTTAGCCCATTTATTGATTGGGTTATTTGGGTTTTTGGGGGAGGTGTGTTTTTTGAATCCTTTATATATTCTGGAGATTAGTACTCTATCTGAGGTGTGCGTAGCTCCCATTCTGTAGGCTCTCTCTTCATGTTATTGATTGTTTCCTTTGCTGAGAAGAAACTTTTTAAGTTTGAATTTATCCTGTTTATTGATTCTTAGTTTTACTTCTTGCGCTTGGAATCTTATTAAGGAAGTCAGGTCATAAGCTGACATAATGAAGTTCTGGGCCTACTTCTATTAAGTGCAGTATCTCTGTTCTAGTGCCTAAGTTTTTGATCCACTTTGAATTGAGTTTTGTGCAGGGTGAAAGACAGAAGTTTCATTTCATCTCACTATATATGGATTTCCAGTTTTCTCAGCACCATTTATTGAATAGGCTATCTTTTTCTTCAGTGAATATTTTTGGCACTTTTGTCTAATATGAGATTACCATATTTATGTGGGTTTGTCTTCGTGTCTTCTATTCTGTAACATTGATCTACATGTCTATTTTGGTGCCAATACCATGCTGTTTTTGTTACTATTGCTCTGTAGCACAGTGTAAGGTCTGGTATGATGATGCCTCCTGCTTCAATCATCTCGCTAAGGATTGCTTTGTCTATTCTAGGTCTCTTATTTTCCCAAATCAATTTCATGGTTTCTTTTTCTAGTTCTATAAAGAATGTCATTGGAATTKTAATAGGAATTGCATTAAATCTGAATAACACTTTTGGTAGTATTGCATTTTGACAATATTATTTCTGGCTATCCAAGAGAATGGGAGATCTTTCAAGCTTCTAAGGTCCTTCTCAATTTCCTTTTCAGTGTTCTATAGTTTTCATTGTAGAGGTCTTTTACCTTTTTTTGTTAGATTGATCCTCTAGTAATTTTTCTTTTGAAGCTATTGTGAATGGGGTAGTTTTTCTAATTTCTCTTGCAGTGGATTCATCACTGATTGAATAGAAATGCATTTGATTTATGGGTATTGATTTCATATCCTGCTACTTTGCTGAATTCATTTATTATTTCTAGAAGATTTATGGTGGAATTTGTTTTTAGTGTTTTGAAGAAGCTCCATGCCTTTTCCTAATAGCTGTACTAACTTCCTTCCTGTATGAACTCCTTGTTTTCTACATTACCATCAACATTCCTTTTTCTTTTTTCTTATTTGTTTTTTTTTTTGTAATAGCTCTTCTGACTATGATGCGATGACATCTCATTATATTTTTGATATGTATTTCCTTCATGGTTTATGAAATTGAGCATTTTTTCATAAATTTGTTGACAGTTGAATTTATTCTTTTGAGAATTTTCTACTCATACCATTTGCCTATTTTGCAACTGGATTACCTTTTATTTCTATTGAGGTTTTCAAGTTCCTAATATATTTTGAATATGATTATGGAATCAGATAAGTAGTCCATAAACCTTTTGCCTTTTCGTAGGTTCTCTCTTTACCCCATGGGTAGCTACCTTTGCTGTGCAGAAGCATCATAGCTTGATCTCATCTCACGTGTCTATTTTTGCTTCTGTTCCCTGTTCTTTGGTGGTCTTATTTTAAAAAAAAAATCATCACTTATACAATATCTTGAAGGGTTCCTCCTGTGTTTCTAATAGTTTTCATAGTCTCAAGTTTTTACATTTAGGTCTTTGATCTTTGGATGATGAGGTTCTCTTTTAAAAAGCAACTTGCTGGCCTAACTGTGTTTAGTTTGGTAGGGTATGGCAGTGCAACCTGTGGTATGTTGAAGTATCATACAGTGTTTCTTATATTTGGCTACTTTGGGTTATACGGAATCCCATCCAGACCTSCCAGATAGAATTCATTATGCAGTCTTTACCAACATAACACTGTATTTCTAAAAATTTGTCTAGCCTCAGGCTATGTTTAGATTCATATTGTGTGCTTTTTCTTTGTGGTTCTAACATGTACATAACATAATATTTGCACTTTTAACCATTTTTAAGTGCACAATTCCATAGAATTAACTTTGTTCTCTCTTGTTGTGCCACCATCTCCGCCATGTGTTCACAGAACTTTCCATCTTCTCTAATTAAACTTCATACCCATTGATCAGACCCTGAGCCCCCAACTGAGGAAACCACACARAGGTGCATATTTTAATTATTTAGCTGTACTGGTTAAAATTATGTTGGTGATAGAACAAGCTCTAATATGTATAATCACTCAAATCTCTACTTTTGACTCTATAAGAAATAAAACAATGTCCTAATTGACAGTTTTTCTCCACCAGCTCTTCTCCAAAATTCTTGTAAACTTGTAAACCTCTCCATGATCAATGTGTAAAATCTAAGCTCATCATGCTTGGCTACGTCAGGTCCACAGTAAAGGAAGAAAATCTGGAGGGTTAGTTATATGCAGTGATTTTAGACTCAGAGTGAATCAGCACACATCACATATACTCAATCATATGTCTTCATCCAGGGTTTAGTAGGCTGGGAAATTTAGTCTAGCATATGAAGAAGAAGAAAATTTTGATTTAAGGATGAGCTAGCCAGGTTTTGCTGCATGATATTTCGAGTGTACATAGGCTCAGTAATCATCATTCATGCCACTAGGAACAATTTGATTCTTCTTTTTAAAAAACTAATTTTCCCTGAGATAAAAGTAGGCTTCACTTTAAATATCTCCAAAAATAAAATAAAACTCCATGACACAATTAAAATAAACTTGTAATTCCATTGAAAGCTAAGAGATATTATCTAGGGATAGAAACCTTAACAAACAGTGAATAGTTGAGCATTTCTACTTTACTCAGTTCACAATTATATGTTAAGGGTCAATGAAGATATCTAAGAGGTCTAGAATCTTTTGCATCCTTAAGGAAAATTTCAGTAGTTCTCATGTTTACTGATAGCATCCCTATTCATAGTTTGTCTTCTCTTAAAGTATATCTAAATCCCACCAGGATCAGCAAATCCATTTGTTTACAACATGGAAGATGCATTTAATTGGTAAAATGTATTGAGCTCATGTAGAAGAGACTTGAAGAAAAAGGAAAGCAGACATTTTTGACTATTTCTCTTCACACAGAAAATAATTTCCTTCCTTTTAATAAGTGCACTTAACGTATCCACAGGAGCCCAAGCTCCATACATACACAGGAACACTTAGCATCTGCATTTTCCTTTCCTACAAAGAAAGAAAAGGCATAAATGCATTTGCTGGCAATACTGACAAAGACCAATTTGTGGAATAATTGAAACCTTGATTTCTGTCATTAGCCGGATGGGTACAAAATGCATCTTCCTGTCTACATTCCAGATGCTTCTTCTTATTTTAATACCTCTTTGTTTCTCCTGAGTTTCGAATTCTTAATTGTAAAGTGTCAAGGGAAAGTGTTTAGTTTGCAAGTTGCATCAAGAATGACATCAACTTGAACTCCCTGAAAACCTTGCCACCTTTATTTATCGTTCCTTTCAAGTAGTTTATTTTCCATAGTAAGCCTCCGACCTCTTGATTCTGTCCCATAGTCATCCATAATGAGTGAGCTCTTGTAACCCCAGTAAAGGTCTGGGCCCAAAGTATTCATTTTGGAAATAATCTCTCTGTTCAACCTTGATTTCCTAGGGAACGAGCATTGAATACGACCCAGCCTGGGTCCCTTCAGCTTACCGTGGGAAACCTGAAGCCAGAAGCCATGTACACCTTCCGAGTTGTTGCCTACAATGAGTGGGGGCCAGGGGAGAGTTCTCAACCCATCAAGGTGGCCACTCAGCCTGAGTGTGAGTATGAAAAGGGAGAGGCTGTGTTTAGTGAGGATTCCTAGTAGAACTTCTTTGAGATGAGAAAACGGAAGGCAGGTGTTTGAACCAACGTGTTTAACTTGAAGGTTTTCATAGGAAAGCTAACATTTTGACAGATGGCCTCCTCACTCAGGCCTCATTGTCCACAATGGCAGATTAGAGGAAACCATGGCCCCATTCCTCCATAGAGCTCACATCCTCATTTCCTAAAGTGACTCCCTGCCCAACAGTATTTCATCATCACCACCATTGAGTTCAATCCTTCTCCGTTGATTTTTCTCACATTTTCTGGAGTTAGTCTGGGCCGGTTTTAGCATCAGAGGTAAAAGAAAAATGGCATAAAACTTCTAAATACAGGGACTTTTAAAGAAGTTAAACAGGCAATAACAACTGAAGAAGATACCAAAGGCCAACTGAGGCCCCAGAAGCATGGGAGACGACCTCCACTGGACTGTCTCCTTGACTTCTAACTTGAATCACTGTATGAACCTCATTCATCCCAGAGTAAAGCTGTAAAACAAGTTACAATTCCATACTAGCAACTTTTTTTTTAGTTTTTCTTATGGACCTCCAATGTTATTTAGAATGAAGACTTACTAATAAGTTTTCCAGCTTTATATTTTTAATTAAAAATTCTATTCTAAAGGTTAATTCAGTGAGTAACTATTTGAAACACACAGCCTTATTTTAGACACAATTTCCTGTGCTCCTCTTCTTTTCTTTTTTTTTTTGTCAAGTTCTTTGTTTACTTATTTGTTTATTTTCTTTTCAATTAATAATATTCCTTTATTTGTATTCCTATTGGTTTTATGTAAAACTATGTTTCACTTGAAAATGACTTCAAATGCTTTTGGAAGGAGATAAAATATAAGTTAGAAATGTGACAAATAATCTCTGTACTGGGTTCACTTCCTGGGTGATTTATATCAGCATGTCAATGAAATCAAGATAGGCCATCAGAGTACTGGTTGATCATCTACTCTTGGCAAAATCCTCATCCTTTCTTCGTCTTAGCCAAGATTGCCCTGGCAAGATTGATATATTCATCCAGGCAAGGGCTAAGACTTCCAAGTCATGTAAATATTTGCCTCACAGAAACAAACTCTCAGACAATAACTTCAAAAACACAGTAATGTATACAGGTGTCCAGAAATTGTCTGAAAATATAGGCTCCCAGGGAGGTCTGGCTAAATCAGTTGCAGGATTCGGTGCACAATGAAAATGCAAGGACACTTTTCTGAAAAATTAAGAAATGTTAACAACTACAATTACAGCAAGACATGAAGTCAGTCTTCACGCAATTTCCCTCTAAGTGTGAGACCTTGTCCAACTTTGCTGGTTGTGCACCCATGAAGCTGGCCCTGATGAGGTTTCCGCTTATAAGAGCGAGTTGTTGCCCTGTGGATTTAAGCCAGTTTCCATTTCACAATGTCCATGTTAATTTAGCATTTGAGTCCTCAGTCTCTTCGTTGATTTAATGCTTATAGTTAATATATGGAGAATAAATCATTTTATGAATATTTGGCTTTTTTGATTAATAAAGTTCAGTAAAAATCAAATTAGGCATATACACATGTATGTATGTGCTTGTTTATATGTATATGATGTATATGTGTATATATATGTGTGTGTGTATAAACATACATATATATGGTATATGCCACATTGTACAAAGATTGACTTTAACCTCAAACATTCTATCAAGAAAAGTTTTGTTCAGTTTTCTAATATGAAACTTTAAATTTAAGCATTTTTAAAAAGATCTAATATGTACAGGTATCTGAATTCTTTACCCTAAACCTAATATTATCTTAGAATTGTTTTATTGTACTTTTCATGGCTGACTAGTCATGATTACATTGTATTTCTGATAAAAATCATAAGTTGTCAATCTTGCTTTCTCAAACTGAATAACTTATTTTTTCTTCTTCTACAAATATCATTGTTCCTAAACATCCAACTTAAAAATATTTTCAACTTTTTTCTCTTTTTTACTTTTTTTTTAATGACAGTATTTGTAAATCAAGGGACAAAAATATTTTTCTTTTTAATACTAACTACTGAATATGAATATCTCAATACATAAGGCTTGTATACAGCAGCATGTTCTGCAATTTTTAATGTAAGAATTTTTAAAAGCATCCTTATTTGTATTGCCCATAGAACATTAACTGTGTGAGACAAACAACAGCATACTTCAATTTATAGTTGTATATCATGAATAGCTACTATGCTCCTAATACTATTCTGAGTCACTTAAGGTGCTTTAGAAAAGGCAAATACCTGTTAAAAGTAATGTAGTTAGGGATCTCATAAACTTCTTGGGGAAGTGAAAATTCTAAGCATGTGACAATCAAAAAAAAAAGTCCTTAGATAAGAGAACTTATAGGAAATTGTTAGATGTGTTAGATGGAATATAAGCTATTCTGAGTCATGCATTTGCTTCTGTGCCCCTTAGCTGATGGTCACAGCTTATTACATAGTTATTTTTTATGTCTGCACTATACTGTACTTACTTCCTCCAGTCACCCTTGGGTTGCAGAGAGAGCCCCAGCAGGCTTGCACTACATTTATTCCTCTCTATGCAGAAAGCAGTGTAAGAAGTGTGAGCAGAAGTCTTCTCTGGATGCTTGCCTCTGTGTGTATTTACTTTGCTTAACAATTTACATAAAGGACCATGAGACAACTAAATAGTAACCACTACAAGTCCAATTGAATAAGACATGTTGTTTTGGTATTGTTAGAGCATATAAATAATAATTTCTCCAGAAAATGAAAATGGAGAACCTGCAAGCTTTAGAAATGTGATGTAGCCTTGACTATTTTTCATTAAGAGCAGCGGTAATGGCCTTAGAATGCTCTTCATATTTTAGCCTTTATTAGCACTGTCTTTGATCACCTGTTTTTAACCACTGTATGCAGTAGCGATTGTGTCTGTGGGAGGTCTTTGGCTTGGCTGTGTTTCACTACCCTCATCATGGGCTAACTCACCTTGTTGAGCAGGTAGGTAGAGGAGAACACTTCAGCCTACAGAAGAGGTCATGCAGAACACTCTGTGAAACAGCCGACTCCTTCATTTATAATAAAAGCATGCTGTAGTTCACTTGCTGTGTTTATTACAGACATTAGGATAAATAAATTATATTATCATGACTAATAGGTGCTGCATGTGTATTTTATCTTCTGTTGTTAACACCAAATACCATTTGGCAATTTACGAATATTACTAGGGAAAGGAACACTTCATCTCCTCTAAGCCTGCTCAAAAATATGCCAACTGGCAAGGGAAATGGAACATTCCAGGGATCCTCTGTCTCCTTCCTTTCTCTCCTCTTCTCTCTCTTTCCCCTTCTTCTAAGCCCATCTTTCTGTCTTTTAGAGGAAATACCAAGGTTGATTTCATTATTTGGACTAGGCAAGAGGGGTAGAAAAAAAATCAATATTTCCTCTCGACAAAATGATTTTATCTTTTGAAAATGGGTCTTGTCTGGGTGTGCATTTGGTTGCTTCTTTTATCACCATTTCTCCAAATGTGATGTAGTAATTGTGCACTAAAATTACATAGCTTTTATACAAATTGAATTTCAAGTTTTTCATGTTATTTGAAAATATCAACTCTATTATGGAAACCATATTTTCAAGGAATAAAAACGGAGGGGAAATATGTCTGAAATATAAATCAGCCAGCAACTGTTTCTGAAAGTGCATACATTTTACAGTAATCATTTAAAGAGATCAACAGTCCAAGATCCAGTTTATGAAATAATCACCCGGAATAGAAAGACTTGATTTATATGAAGGCTTCTGTCCTCTGATTATATCTCCCTTTTGCTAAACCTTTGCTCTTTTCCCCCTGCCTTTATGGTGTATAATTTCTTCACTGTATTATCAGCCAGGATTTAAGTCCTTGCCTGCTTAAGACGTGTCTAATCTTTTCATACCACATGTGGCGAATTTTTGAATTATTATTTGGGGTCCTATAAGATGCTGTTAAGGCAGTTTAATCATACAGGATGTTAAAATGGACCACATATAGGTTTGAAGGCTTGGGTAAGAATAGGAAGCAGATTTGCTAGACCACAACCCAATTATCTATAAAGCCCTTTTATATTTAAGATTTGTAAGTAATATTCTTAAGTCTATTATAGTCTTTACACTAAAAAGATGAATGCAAGCAGCCATACCCCCAGGTTGAGTGACTTTAGAATATGTTATGTAGAGGTATAGCTGTATTTACTTTTTTCCCTCCTTCCCTGGATTTAATTTTTTTAAAAAATATCCTAATAGAGTTCAACTAGTGTGGCGATTTTGTATAGAATAGAAAGCTCGTATCATGTTCCTGAATATTGCTACTATATTCTAGATCAGATTTCTTCACCTCAGTTCCCTGAACTAGAAAGTGGAGGTTTTATTTACTCTGCCTCTTCCCAGGTTGTAGAGATGAAATGAGGTCTTGCATGGCTTCAAGCAGGCACTCAATAGAAAGGAAGTTCCTGCTGTGCCTTTGGAATTCTGCAGGGTCAAAGGAGAGCAGAATTCCAAAGGCACAGCACTAAAAAACAAAGAGGGATCTCACCAGGGTAATCTCCTAGGTAAATAGGCTAATAGAGTGCCTTATTTACAGCTTGATACTGGCTCTTCTACTATACAAATGTACAGCCAGCACTTTTATATATATATACTTATTTTCATGTTTCTCGTAGTCCTTCCTTACAATTTGGCAAGATGTCATAGACTGTCTTGTCTTCAAATGTTGCCCGATGTATATCTTAGCATCCCCAAATAAATTTGCTCAGTAAATACTGTATAACCTCATAAATTGTGCCAGTCTTGCCATTTTATGAATGGTTGGTTAGCTAAAATATGCCAGTAGAATCTGGTCTGTACTTAAAGTGTGGGGGAACTGTAAAATATCAATTATTGTTGTTTTAACATGATTCCATAAATTACATAAGCCAAGTTTATTACAGTCTGTCCAG